GGGGCCCAGTGCAAAACGAAACCGCAGGCCCCTTGTTCAAAAAGCCTTAAGAAATTCAAGGCAGTGATGGCAGAGCGTTCGGCCAAGCATGGCACCCTTCTGAGAGCAGGGCCCTGTGTGACGGCCTGGGTCCCAGGCCAGGAGCTGGTCCTGCCTGTGGGACATCTGGGGCGGCTCCAGCCCAGCTCCCGGGAAGGGGCCGAGGCCCTCGCACTGTGACTTCCATCCCTGCGCCGAGGGCACCCTCCCCAGGGCCGCAGCTGGGCCGCGGCTGCCGGGCCCTGCCACTCGCCGTGGCCATGGGAGGCAGCATAAAAGCCCAACTGTTCCCCGCCTCGTTATGCCCGTTTTTATCTCCTGCCATGCATACAGCACAGAGCTGATTTCTTTCCGCAGCGGGCTGCGCTTTTTTTCTTTTCCAAGGCCGACGCTGGAAAGCCATGTGGCTTTTATTGCTGGCAGGAATGTCTGAGGCGTTCCTTCGCCACCACATGAAATGGAGCCGTAATCTTCATCTGCGCAAGGCCCGAGCCCCCGGTCTCCTCCGAGCCACCGGCCTCTGAGATTAATTAAGGCTTCACAAGGACTGACAGTCATTAGGGCCTTTTGGGGAGGTGGAAAACCCCTAATGGGACTGGCTGAGCCCCCCAGCCGCTGGGTGGGCGGTGGGGTGAGGAGGGCCTGCCCTGAAGACGGAGGCAGCAGGGAGGTGGCAGGAGGTGGCAGCCCCTGGCCTAGGCTGCGACCTGGAGTGCGACCCTTCCCCTCCCTGGGCCTCCGCTCCGCCAGTGGATAAACAGGAGATTGGGAGGTGATATCTCAGAGCCCCGTTGAGTCTGACATGATACAATTCTGCATCTCGCCCCCAGTTCTCCTGCCAGGATTCTAATTCTGTTCCATGACTGCAACTTCAAGCATCTGATTCTCGTCCATGAGAACAGAGCGTGGTGGTCAGGAACGTGGGCTCTGGGGCCAGGCTGCCTGGTTGGAATCCCAGCTCCGCACTTTCCCAGCTGTGTGTCCTTGAGCAAATGACTCAACCTCTCTGTCTTCAGGGTTTTTTTAATCTCATGCTAAGATTACTCTGAGGCATAAATAAGTATAAAGTGTGGGGGGAGGCCTGGCCTGCCGTGAGAGCTTAACTGTTGTTAGGAAAACACTGATAGAGTTCAGGATCCTACTCCTGTGGTTCCAGTCCTATTCCAAAAATTGGCTTCTGACTGGCTCCTATTCTTGCCACCTGGTTAAGGTTTGGAGGCGTTTTGAACCTGAAGTCCTTCTGTCTTTCCTCCACTAGAGGGGATGTGAGGAGCCCTTTCTCTCCCTGGTGGGCAGGAGTCCCGGCCGGCAAAGGTCAGAAAGCCCTCTTTGGGCCACGCCATGCGGCCCCCTGGCCTTGCCCAACCTCAGTCTCCATCTTGCTTCTTCCCATGTTCCCATCTGTAAAGTGGGACTGTAACTGGGTCTCCCTCCGCAGGCGGCTCCCAGGCTGAAGGCGAGCAGCCGGTGGGAGGGCCCAGCGAGGGCCCCCGCAGCACCCTCCCTGCCTCCCACCCCGGTGTGAAGGGTCAGCTCATTTCCAAGTCTGCAGCTGCCCGACCGCTTGCATTGCCTCTAGTCCCCCCACCACGTGCATTGAGCACTTTCAACATCTGTATACCTGGCTCTTCCCACTACTTTCTTGATCAAGGAGGAGGATGTGCATAGCCAGGTGGTGCCGCAGCTCCCCAAACTGCGAGCCAGATGGGGCTTTTAGCCTGTCGGTTCTCAGCCCAGAAACCCCTGAGCCATGTTCCTCTTCATTGAAATGGGTCTGACTCCTCCCACATCCAATTGCTGTGAGGATGGGACTTAAAGTCCAGACAGTGCCCGGACACGGCGACACCTCAGCAAACCTGGTTGTCACTGTTCTTCCCATTATACCGGCCAGGGCGATGCCAAAGTCACACAGCCCATCAATGGCGGAGCCAGTAGCTGTATCCTAACCACAGTGCTCTCCCCAGCTCCCCCTCCTCCCCTCAGAGTCTGGCCCTTTCCAAAAAACAAACCAAAAAAAAAAACCACTCTGTAATTTGAGAAGCACACTTGTCTGCCTGAACATTCTGGAACCTTCCAGAGGCTGCCGGGAGGGATGGCTCTGAGCTGGATTCTCTGGGGTGAGGGACCCCAACCCGGAGGCAACAACCCTTCAAGCATAATACGGGTTTTTATGACCCTTTCTAACTTGATATACATTTTATGTATCGTATTACATATAATCCCTATGATATGTAACATACATGTATACTCATATATGTATGAATATATCTCTGAAACCAGGAGCCGGCGAGTGCTGGTTTAATTAGCAGCATTGCCTTTCTTTATCTTTCACATGGAACAACTGATGGAATTTTAGATCCGGTGAAACTCAATGCCTCTCCCCTCCTAGATGGGGCCTTGAATCCCTCGGATTTGTAACACGGAGCTAGTAGAGCAGCCTCCATTCGCAGAGAGGAAACAGCCTCTGAGAGGGACAGCAACGCCCCACCTGGAGTTCTAGGGCGCCAGGCAGGAGGGTGACTCGGTGATACGCATCCCTCCGGAGCTGAGGTGTGGAGGCCAGAGTGGGAGAAATCGCTAGCTTCCGGGAGACAGTCCTCTGCACTGGTCACTGGACTGGGGCTCCTGTGAGACTCCGGATAAAGGGAATAGATGCCTCCTGGGGAGGGTCGGAGGGGGAGGAGGCTGACAGTGTCAGCTGAGGCCAGTTCCTACTTAGAAAAATGTCTGCCTGTGGGGGAAGGGGGGAGGGGTGGGGACCAGTGGGTTTCTAGAGTGAGGGTCTGAGCCAGGGGAAGGTGGATTGTCAATAGCCACAGGCAGCCCTGTGATGGGTGATAGAAGCCCAACTGCCGGCTGCCCCTGTCTGGAGCCAGGCCACAGTCTTCACCTCCCCAGGCAGCCCCTAGGCGAACCCAAAAGGGCAGGATGGCCAGGGACTAGACTCCAGGACCTG